CCATCGGAGCCGACATTACAATGATCCCGTGGTTCGATGGTTAGAAGCGTCGGGCTTCTAACCAACAGGTTGCGGCTTCGAGTCCCAGGTCTTCCACACTTCGAGATTGGGTATGACTGGATGGCGACGGTTAATACGCCAGAAATGGCCATTACAGTCTCCCCTGTCTTTGTCGACAATTTATTTTTAACTAAATACTGTTGAAATTGGAGAGCAGGCAGTTTAATTCAGCCCTGAGACGGCCTAAGTTTCCTCAGTTATGCCAGTGTTACTGAGTAATTGAGGCAAATAACTGAAAGAAGAGCACGAAATAGGGCTTCTGACCGAGAAAGGCTGTCCTCGCCTTTCAAATTTTTCTGTTAGGTCGTTCAGTTCGCCGCCTTAGTGGCTACAACCTATTTTCATCCCACCAAAACAAAAGCCGAACTATCCAGTAGGCGCCTCATCCGGAAATCTTCCTGTCCGCTTAAATTACCCAGTTCAAACGGAGATGACAGTTGGGATGGCTTCAGTGGTAACGAACCGTTTGTTACTCTCATCCAGCGCTCCTTGCGGCCTGGAATGATACAGTTTCTAATTGAACCCTCGAACAATCCGCCCACACTTCGTTGTTCACGAGGGAGGAGAAGGAGCAGGTGTAGGAGGGGGCGGGGAGCGAGAGGAACTTCCCACAGCCTCTTCTGTCTTGCGGAGGGGTAAACGCCCACGTGGCTTCTGCGTATTCACTTCGCTCCAAAGTGTCTAGAGGGCTGCCCTTAGCGTCTTCTCGTTCTCCTACGAGCCTAGTACCACTTCAGACCTTCGCATTAACGACAGAGTGGTACTGCCACAAGATAAGTGCGAACTAAAGTGTTTATTATCGCTATTTTGGGAGAAATAGGCGAACATATGTTTCGCTTCCCAGTCCTTCGTCTCCCCCGCAGCAGACACACGTCAATCCAGCGGTTGGATTCGGCCGCACGGTTGGAAGCCGTTCACTTGCTGCCTAACAAGCCTAATGACAGATCATTAATCAGCCAGCGTACCGCTCAGAAACTAAGCCGCTTCGTCTGAGTGATGTTCTGCGTCGAACAAGTATCGGCATAGCGACTCGCCGAAGGCTCGTTACTTTTTCATTGACGGCAGTTGGAACTGTTCGCGATGGTGGTTATATTTTCATCATGTGTCTTGTTTTAAGCAGAGTATGATCTGCTGTGATTTGAGATGTGAAATGGAGTTTTCAGAAACATATCCTCCGGCTTAGAAATAAAAGACACAAGAACTAAAACGAATGCCGAAAATCGCGAACTTGAACACTTTAGCATGTTGAAGTTTTTCTTCTATTCTATTAATTTCATTTATTTTTGCTATTATTCTAATATTTTGGACGTATATTTTAGTCATTTTCACCTGAGAATAGGCATTATTGAAAGCTTGGAGTAGGATTGTCTCATGCATAGTCCCGTCTCACACCTGCTGCTTTTTGCTTTCATTTGCATAACGCAGATTACAGTAGCTGTGCTTACTCATGAAACGTCAACCAAAATTTCGAAATGCGTTCTCGTTTCGAAAAGATAAATTAAATAGTGCTGTAAAACTAAATATGATGTAACATAAATCTATGATGATCCAGTTACCTCAAGGTGACAGCTTTCGAAAGAATTTATTTTCGGCTGCATGTATGATCTGTACTCTGCAAAACATGGCTACTTATGTAGCATGCAATTTTATCATTGATTTTCGATTCCCTTGAAAATTCAATTATATTTCATGGAAAACATGCATAAAACTATTCATTTTTTTACTTATTCGGTAGAAAATCACGTCTTCTTCCAATTTCATACTAAATAGAAGAGTATAATTCGACTTTAAAAACTTTTCTAATTCCCGAATAATTTTGAACCCGACCTGCTGTTAGCCTTGCATTCAGGGTTTAAAAACTGCAAGCTGTAAATTTTCCGTATACGGAAAACCATGCATTTCTTTACGGTGTTAAGAGGGGACCATATAATTTTCATAAAATTAAGCAGTGGATTTGAGCAATATTGTTAACTTTAAAAGCCACATTCGTAAATGCAGATACATGACGTTTCATGAACGGCCATTTAACGGTATTAAAAAATCTCACAATTAAAAACATTTTTAAAACCGAATTATACCCTTCTTTTGAGTATGAAATTAGAAGAAGACGTGATTTTCTACCGAATAAGTAAAAGAATGAATATTTTTATGCATGTTTTCCATGAACTACAATTGAATTTTCAAGGGAATCGAAAATCAATGAGAAAATTGCATACTACGTAAGTAGTCATGTTTTGCAGAGTATAGATCTTGCATGCATCCGAGAATAAGTTCTTTCGAAAGTCGACACCCTGAGGTAACTGGATCAATATATGTTGCATCATGAGTACTTTTACAACACTACTTAATTTATCTTTTCGAAAGGATAACGCATTTCGAAATTTTGGTTGACGTTTCATGAGTTAGCACATCTACTGTAGAACGCCTGTCGACGGTCCCCCTATTGTTTCATCCTAGCGACTGAGAGGACGCTTTGTTTTTCTGCTCATGTGTCGACTAGCTCTCGTGCAAAGTGCTTTGTTACATTCATCACTATTTTTCTATATCTAGACCCTCTGCTTAACACTTATTTTTGATGTTACTCTAATATTTGGTACGTATATTTTAGTCCTTTTAACGTGATACTATGCTTGACGTAGATTTGTCCCACGAATAGTCCTGTCTCACACCTGCTACTTGTGGCTTTAATTTGCATAACGCAGATTACATTAAACTCAGAAACGCGTGCACTGACTGCATTTTTAAACCTGCCATGTATCATAGCATATTCGCCCAGCCTGTTTAGCAATGATAAAAAGAGTAAAAGATGCTGTTACCAAGAGAGGAGAGGAATGTTTGCTCCATTTCATATGCAGACCGGACTAATGGAACTGCCAATATCGCTGGTATCTGATTTATAGTCAGCGACCGATCTGGTGAAATGTTAGCCAAAATTCTGGAATTCGCTCTCAATTAGGAAGAATTACCTGGGTGGGACTGCAATATTTATTATCTTGCAACATAATCTCATAATACTTCGGACTCGCCAAGACGTTAGCTGCTGGGTGCAAATGAATAGCGTGTTTTTTCCGCATTTATTTTCGATGGCCTTATAAAGTTGAATATTTTATAGGAAAAAACTCCGAAAAATATGCTCTCTTTTACTTATTTAGCAGCTAATGAAATCAGCTCAATATGTGTTACCCGGAGAAAGGGTGTTTGTAGATCTTGAAGATATTTTCCAATTCCTAAATGATTTAAAGATATAGATTTTCCGTTGTACTAGCGTTTAGCGATTTCGGTCCACAAGGTATATGCTCTCCGCGTAATAAAAACCACATATTCCTCCACGTCTTTAAGAAAATGCCCTGTAGTGTTCATAAAATCTTACAGTGGGTGCGGACTCTGCTGTTTATTATAAAAGGAGCATTAATAAACGGACAGGTCCGATGCTCTATAAATGAACATGGCACAAACTTAAAAATCTCATAATTAAAAAAACCTTTTAGAACCTAAACGTACTCTTTCTCCAAACGCAAAATGTGAGGACGACGCGATCTGCTACCATTTGAGTGAAGGAAAACATGTTTTGGCATGTTTCGCACGAAATACATTCAAATTTATAAGGCCATCGAAAATAAATGTAAAAAATACATGCTACTTAAGTTGCCTTTTTAGCGAGTAACGTTTTTACATGAGGCGGCAAAGAAGTGCATTCGAGAGCCAATATTCTGGCGAGTCCGAAATGTCATAGGATTAAGTCGCATGATAATAAATACTGCAGCCCCACCTAGGTCATCCTTCCCAATCGAAAACACATTTCAGAGTTTTGTCTAACATTCCATGGGATCGTCTACTCAGTGTAACTTCAGTTTATTTGCGCATCAGAAATGGCGATAACTAAGTGAAGGCTAAGCGAAAAAGTCTGTCGTCTATGTCACAGAATTAAAGCAACTGGCCCGATCTAACCGCCACAGGAAAAGGTGGAACATTGATACGTTCGAATTAGCTGTTCGTCCACAGACGACGTTCTAGTCTCTATGTCATATCCAGCACCAGATGGCCGACCAGCTCGGACACCGAACTGGTACTTTACACATACACTGAGCGACCGATCTCATGAAATGTTGACCGAAATTCTGAAATGCGTTTTTGATTGGGGAAGAGTACTTAGGCTACAATATGGACTACTTTGCGGCATAATCCTATAATGTTTCGTGCTCGACAGGATGTCTGCTTTTGCATGTGCTCAATTTTGACCTCCTGTAGAGAACACGCTGGGCAAGAAATGACTACTTACGTAGCATGTATGTTTCACATTGATTTTTGATGGTATTGTAAATTCAAATATACTTTATAGAAGACATGCAAAAAAGATTTGCTTTCTTTTAAGCGTTCAGTGGGGGTTCACGCTGTCTTTAAATTTTTTACCTGATGAAAGGGCGTGTTTACATTTCGAATGAGTTTCTCTATGCCCAAATAATTTTGAGGCTGATCAGCCGTTGCATTAGGTTTAAGCGATTTCAGTTTACAAGGTGCTTACTTTCTGCGTAGGGAAAATCATATATTCCCCTATACCTTTGAAAAGATACTATGTAAAGTTCATAAAATTTAAAAGAAGGCGAAGGCACGATCACTGGGACAGTAAGTTTATTTGCCTGAGCTTTCGAACTCGAACTAGAGTTCATCATCAGAGGTTACTCCCATTGGTGCACAAACGGGGCTGTGTGAGGGCGCTTTTCGACCGGGTAAAAACGCACTGTAGCGAGCCCGAAGGAAGGATGCAAGAACTATGGCATCTCCGGGACCAATTAACAAAGAACGGCTACCCAAATAGCTTGATCAGTCGCTGCATACGCGCACACCCACGCCGGACAAACGGAAGAGAGACACCAACAATTTGGCAATCCCTACCGTACATAAAGAATGTGTCCGAGGCCACAGAACGCATCGCGTCAGAGCTAGGCGTGGGCATCGCTCATCATCCGGCGGCCACCATGCGTAGCAGGATCATGAAAATGAAGGATCGGCTGGACGCAGGTGAACAGTCGGGCGTAGTCTATCGAATCCCGTGCCAAAACTGTCCTTGCCACTACACAGGCCAGACAGGACGACGTCTGAGCTGACGAATACTTGAGCACAAACGGGCCGTTCGGAGAGGCGACCCACTGTCTCAAGTAGCCACTCACACGCTCGAGGAAGGGCATGAGTTCGACTTCGCCAACACGCGGATATTGGCGCGAGCCGGCAACAAGACAGGGCGAGAGCTGTTGGAGGCGTGGGTGTCGGACACCAACTCCATCAACAGACGCATCGATTTGCCTGCGTGTTATCACGCGCTCCGCCCACGCAGCCAGGTGGCGCAGCTCATACCGTCGCGAAGTACAAATGGCGTCACCACGCCGGGGGAACATCGTGGACCAGGCGGCACAAACCCTACCTAGCCACGGACGTACTCCCCCTCCCCCCCCCCCACCGCAAGGATGAACGATATAAATGCTCACAATTTGCTGCACTCGAGTAACCTCTGATGATGAACTCTAGTTCGAGTTCGAAAGCCCAGGCAAATAAACTTACTGTCCCAGTGATCGTGCCTTTGCCTTCTTTTAAACAAGAACCTGGGATGCGCATATTCTCTTCCATTCGTGAGTTCATAAAATATTGCAATGGATGCGGACTATGCTTTTCATCTCATGAAAAGCATTGGCAAACGGACGTGCCCGATGCTGTATGAATGGGCATTGCACGGTCTTAAAAATCTCATAATTGCAACCTTTTTCAAAGACTAAAGATACCCTTTCTTCAGGCAAAAAAAATGTAAAGGCAACGTGATTATCCACCAAACGCCTAAAAGAAAGCACATCTTTTTGCATGTTTTCTACAAAATATATTTGAATTTACAATACCATCAAAAATCAATGTGAAACATGCATGCTACTTAAGTAGTCATTTCTTATCCAGCGTGTTCTCTACAAGAGGTCAAAAGGATGCACATGCAAAAGCCGACATCCTTTCAAGCACGAAACAATATAGAATTATGCCACATAATAGTCCATATTGTAACCGTACCTAAGTAATCCTGCCTAATCAAAAACGCATTTCAGAATTTCAGCCAACATTTCATGAGATAGGTCACTCAGTGTATGTAGACACTTTCCTCTAAGATTATGCACATATACCTCAAGGTTGCCATCGATGGCGGCAGCCAGCAAAGTGGCTGTGCGTAAAGCGAGCTGTATGAACTTGTTACTCTTGCAGGTCAAGCAGTAAGGACGTTTGACTTAAAATGCTTAATGACCAGCTAAACGCATGCCCAAAACCAAGCCGTTGTAGCATCTTGAATGAAGATGTCCCTGGTTGATGAAGATTACGAAACCAGAAATTATCAGTGATGCGGTGTCCCTAGTCTACTTCGGTATTCCAAGAAGCTCTTTGCACACCTGGTCGATGCTCAGAAAATGCAATCAAAGCTTTATCTCAATCAGAAACTATTCTACGTTTCTTATGGATTCTCATAAGTTTTATTGGCAAACCACTGTAATCTGCACCCTTCCCCGCATATCAGTTGCCTTTACACTGATGTTGAGAGTGTTGTATTCAGGAAGGGTAAGGGTAATACGGAGATATCTGTTAACGTTTCCGATTAACTCGTTATCTTCATGTAGTTTTCTCCTTTGTGATCCTAATAACGAGTGACCTCTACTGATTGCAATAACTGTTCCAATGATGACAACTATCCGGGTCTGGCATTGTAACCTTAAATCAGTGCCCAGTTTCCAATTGAACCTGGGAGTTTGTTTTGGCATTTTTTTCGGAAAGAAGGCATTTATTCCATTCGGGACCATGGATAACGCCCGTGCCACTCCTGTTATTTAGGCGCTTCTGGTCCAAACAATGTTTGACTGAATACGAAAGGTAAGATAAATATCAATGAGAATTTCCGTGCGAAAACTGGATGTTGCAGAGTTTTCTTCTGGTACCCTTAAGAGGAGTTTGTTTGCCCCAGCTGGCAACCGCAGGAAAAAGGAAGGCTTCCTTTAGCGCCGTTATAGAACATAAGTTTGGTCCAATGTCTACCCACTCCCTTACAGGTTCGCATCCCGTAGAAAAGTTTCCAAACCATCCGTCATCCGACAGAAATTACCATCAGAATCAAGTAACAAAAGTTCTGAACATGTTTAAGGGTGGAAGGCAACCATATGGAATGCCCGATTAAGATATGTTTATAAAATACAAAGTTTACATAAACAGGTTACTGCCATGTTGTCAGTAACACGTATTTTGCGGAATACCGTAATGACAATGAGGAACAGAAAGCCGGGTACAATCAGGTGTCGAAGATACCGTGAAATATGAAATAATAGTCATCCGCGTTAAAGATCGTCATGGTGTCAAATGAGCGCGTTTCTTAAACAAATCTATTGAGCTGATCACAACGGAGCACAACTCAAAGGCACTACACACTGGCTTTCTCGTACGCAGTGATCATCTTCTTAGTCATCTGTGGAACTGCCACGCGGATAAAACTCCTAAAAATCACAGATTTTCAGGATTTGCGTAAACAGCACCATGCCTCCACTCTGCAATTGACTGTTTTTTTAGAGTTGTTTATAGAAAGAGAGGAATATTTTGGGCTTAAGACGTTCCTACCTTAACACGGGGTTACTGAAGTAATCTAGCATTTACAAAAGATTGCTAACTAACGGGCAAACGGGCTCAAATGAATGGACCAAAGTTTTGACATAATATGCGATGGGAAAGGTAAAACAAACGTTGAAATTACTTTTACGCTTTTGAAAAATACTAGCTCTTTAGAAAGACGAAAAATTCCGAAAACCAAGTTACTCCCCAGCCTCCAGTAAACATATGAAATCCAACAAGTCTGATGTAGAAAGCTGACTACCTAGGCAGGATTTCCTAAGTAATCCATTTAAACGCACAAGGTGACTAAAAGTCTCACTTCATTAATAGGTATTTTGGCAGATTTTAAAATCAAGTATGGTAGTTAATCAACAGCTTGCAGTTTGAGTGTAACTTCCATGAAGGATTCACGAGGTTTGGCTGTATTTTATCCGTTTTGCATCGTCTGAGATGTGGATGACTAAGACAAAAAGTCTTTGCTTGATTGTGCCAATAAAGACGTCACTGGAATTAAATTTTCAACATAGTCCCATGGTGATTAGTCGGTCGTTTGGCTATTGCTACTATCTCTGACGATGGATTCATACGCGTGTTCGAAGGCTCAGAACAATAACCAGACTGTTCCGCTACTCGACCAGCTTCTTCTTTTGGAACTCGGACTTTTGCCTCCTCCACGAAGTTTAAATACACTTGACAGTTACAGACGTAAAAATGCCATTGCACAGAGCAGCATTACCCCGGTTTTGTAACCGTCATCACCCAGCCATAACCAACCCTGAGCTATGCAACTCCAGAGGCTTGAAATCGCGACCTGTTGATTAGAAGTGAAACGCACCAGCCATTGAACCACGAAATCCTAGTCCTGTCGGATGCGATCGGGTATGTTAACAGTGGTAGAGGGGCGCGCATCGATAGCTTTACGGAATCCACTCGTACCGTTCTGCCTTAGCGCACCCACCTGGGCTCCCAACCCCCCCCCCTCCCAGCAGCCTCACAACGGTGCATTTCAGGAATTTATATTTTCTAAAAAGGAAACTAAGTAACCCCCACCTAGGGGTTAGCTATGGCTGGCTGATGACGGCTAACAGGCCAGAAATGACCATTTCAATCCCCCTGTGGCTGCTGGCGGGGCTCGAGGGCGAGCCCCAATACACATACGATGCAAGTACTGAACTTCAACAGCAACCACCCAATCAGCCACAAACGCAGTTGTGTAAGGACGCTCTATCGGCGTGTCAAAACGCACTACAGAGGGCCGGAAGACAAGATTGCTGAACTAAAATAACTCCGACGGGTATTCAGAGCCAATGGCTACCCGCGCAACTTCGTCAACCGGTGCATATGCAAAAGAGACGAAAGACCTAACCGCACGGACACCACATTTTGGCGAGCACTTCCGTATGTCAAAAACGTTTCGGAAGCTGTTGGCCACCTTCTCGCACCACTTGGGGTTGGAGTTGCACACAGGCCGGAGGCAACCATTGGGCGTCTGGTAATGAAACCGAAAGACCCACTGCCACGGCAAGGAACGTCTGGAGTCGTTTATCGGATCTGGTGTAGTTGCGGGCAAAGCAACTATACCGGAGAAACCGGAAGATAGCTCCGAACGCGAATGGCCGAACACGCTGCAACGGTGCGCAGAAATGACGCTAGCTCTCAAGTTGCGGCTCATTCGACGGGTTCCGGCCACACATTCAAATCTGACGAGGCTGAAATTCTCGCAAGAGGTGACAACCGCGTGAGCCGGGAGCTGCTTGAGTCATGGTTTACTGGCCCCAGTCTATTAACAAGTGCACACTCCGTGCTGAGACTTCGTCTAGGCGGAGTAATTGGCCACGCGGGGAGCGCACAGGTGAACACTCTTCCCAACACCCGGGTCAGGGCGTCAGATGGTCGAGCCATCATCACACCAACATCCAACGCACGTGATGAAATTGCAGCAATTAACGACGCGAACGTCGGTCAACACGCCACGTGCAACGATCCCTGATGAAGGGGGGGGGGGGAACGGTGACTATTCATAGGTATGCGGTAGCATGGCTACTGCATCCTATAAATACTGTAGCCGCATATGCATGAACCACCCTTATCTGCTTTTGTCTCTGATGATGGATTCGAGCAGGAATCCGAAACGTCAGGCTAATAAAGCTCTTGTCCCGGCGATTGTGTCTCCTTCTTCAAGACTACTTCCTGCGACTCGTCTCTTCGCTTCTCTTAACAATGGGAGGAGTGAGTCACGCAACGGGATGGGTGTGCGCCCCTCTACCATACCACTTTGTATAAATTAGGGGAACTTTCCTTCCGTCAACTGTCTTTATAGTTATTTCTGATGTTGGATCATGATGAGATTCAGATCGTCATTGAAGTAGCAGTGAATACTTTTTAATTCTCAGTGTGTTAAACTGACTGCCAATAGAGGCTGGTTCTGCTCTATCTGCTTATCAAAAACTTCAAAATGAAAAAATTTGGACGCATTTTCCGAAGTAGGGAGTTCTTGCAGACGATCGTTTTGAAAATATTTTTCGATTCACCCACCCAAGAAACTTCATGGCCGGGAAAAATGGATATCCAAAAAAAAATCGGCGAAATGTCTGTCTAGCATCAATTAAAAACCTCCTCTACTAACTTGTCTCTTTAAAAAGTGCCTTTGTTTGCGTAGTTCGCTTAAAGATGCCTGTGTACTTACCTTTCCGTCCAGATTAAACCAAGTTTAGAATTAGGTCTTTTGATCGGCGTTTTCACTTCCCTAAAAATTAATGATAATTTTTTCCTG